ATCTGATTTGTTCTACTCTGTCATCAATCTTCAACTTCAAGAATTGAATGATCATTTTTCGAAGGTAAATACAGAGTTACTCATGTGAGTAGCTTGTTTAGTCCACAAGATTCATTTTCTTCTTTTGACAAGAAAAGTTTGATTCGACTTGCTAAACTTTAATTGTACTTAATGATCAATTTAAGATTTATATTATTGACGTGCGCTCTAACAAAGAGTTTGAAGGGTTGAATAATTTTGGTAATCTTGTAAAGAAGTTAGTTCTGACAAAGAAAAATAAGTAATAACCATTGGTTTACAACCTTTTGACTTTAGCATTGATTCTATTGATTGCTATCACTACTGTGGAGAGAGTCTTTTCTACAACGAACATTGTAAAGAATAGATTGAGTAATCTGATGGGTGATCAGTGAATGAATGATAGCACAATTGTTTATGTAAAAAATGATATATTTTTGAATATCGATAATGAAGTTATTGTACAACGATATCAAAGTATGAAAACTCGCAAGAAACAAGTGTAATTGATAATTTGTCATTCTTAGTATTGTCGTAATATTGTTTTATATTTTTATCACCATTAAATCTGTGACAAAAAACTCGACGTTCGGTGTCGATAAAACTGTGCCCGCACTGAACAAATTTTGTGGCTCCGCCCCTGGAAATGACCCATGTCTTGTACTCTTATTCCATCAAAGGCGATCAATCCCAAGCTCCATAATCAGAAATCCATTTTCTATTACATATTGTATAAATTGACGAAAAAAATTACAAGGCAAGAAAAAACGTAGAGAAATTTGAACGAATTTTAAATAGAAGTAAAATTCAGAATAGTATATCAGATACAAATTCAAAAGATATAGCTTAAGTAATTCAGTTTTTCTAATCGAACAAGTAATGTTAACTTGAAAGTATTTTTAACTCTGGATGTCTTTCAGAAGACGAGATCAAGAGACAACTTAAAAAAACAATGAATTTAAGTCCGTCAACTAAAGATATTTGTATTGGCGTCATTTGGCGACCACCTTGAAGGACTGTTAAACTAACTCAAAACATTGAAGTTATCTGTGTGATTCATCTTCTTAGTAGTTTCAATGTTACACATCGAAAAGAGGAAAGCACTATGTCCCAATAAGTGTAGAAGAATTTCTTACAGCTTACACGGGCTAGAATGTAGCCTTTAACTCGGTAAATGTACTGAAGGGATTCAAGACATAGAACTCCTAAAACTGTATAGTAAATACTGTTCCAAATTGCAGTGTGATCGAAGGCTACTTTAACAGGAAGTTCCCATCGATCATCCATAGGAAAGAGAACCTACAAATCCGAA